AATGGGTTCCAACAAAATTAATCGTAAATATTTAATGTAGCCTTGCTTTTCATGTTGGAAAGCGGTCCATATCCGAGTGGGCCTAAACTCAAGTCCACATGGTATTTATTAATTAAACTACTCACGTACCCGGTTGTAATTGTACAATTCGCGAACGTTCGCAGATAAGGGTTTAATTGCCGGACAAAGGATATCGTAGTTCCTTTTATTACCTTCATCCGAATTATAAACTTTTATGGAAGACCAAGTCCGAATTTAATATCGATAGTCGGTATCGTATTTACAAGATTAACAACGAACTAAATTAAATTTGAAAAGACAAATAAAATTTTTAATCATCTATTTTATTTTTACGTGTTTCAAATCATAACATTGTTTAACTTTAATCCTTCTAACTAGAAAAAGCTGCAAAAAAACTTTTTTTTCGAATAACTCGTAACATATTCAGTTATCATACCGAGTTTCCACGTTAATTAAACAGTCACTTGGTAAAATCAATATCGACACTCTCGTAGTTGAAGCACGAGAAACGGCCTCGTCCCCCACTTTTATTACGTAATAACTACCGCTGCGTTAATAACTTGCAAGCGTCTAATTAAAGCGAAATCAATTTCAACTTTCCAGCTTGCATCCGGTGCATTGGAATGGACGCTCGTCCATTTCTGCTCCTCTGGTAGCTTTTGCGTCGGATGGAAACGATGATGGGGGGGAGGAGAGAGTGAACAGTCGCGTTGCTGATCGGCATCGTTTTGATAAAAAGTAAAGAGCGTTTCAATTTCGATCGAACGACTCCGCTTGAGGCATCAATCTTTCGGAAAAGCAATAATTATTTCGGTCGGATCTGTAACAGCAAATGTTTGCGTTTCCGTATTGCTCCTCGATGACCGTTACTCAGGGTTCTCCAAACTTTTTGTAATCGAAACATGGATCCAATACTTACTAATATTATCGTGATTATTTATCAAACTTCAAAGTAATCATAGATTTTTTTATTAATTAAAAAGGAAATTGCTTATCGTTTGTGTAAACAAAATTTTTTAGGAGTTATCTTACTGGTTTATTTTTGGAGATGTTGGGGTGTTTCAATGTGGTTTGAGAACCGCATGTAGTTTTAATGCAATACATAGGATGGTCGGCCACAGCTCATCCACAAGCTTGTTTGCATCCAGCCGACGAGAGCGTTTTTATCTATTCATGCATCAAACCAATTACAGATTTTTAATTGCTTTAGCGTCAGCCCAAACCGTTCACATATCGATCGACCCTTTACAGATGATAAACCGATACAACCATCGGTATTATTATATATATTCATGGATTACATTAAATCTACTTGTACCCTTTGTAATTTACATCCCTTGCTCTTTTTTTATATTCAAAAACATCCAGCGATTATATTTTTTATTTTTATTGATTACTGTATCATAAAGTTCTTCTTTTTGTGTAATCGTCTACAATTGTTTACGAGCCGAATATATAGATGATACGGATTCGAAACTATACGAACATATAGATATAGTAGGATTTCAATTAAGTGAATTGCAACGATATACAATAAAAGCCAATCGTACGTCGCACAAAAGAATGCTTGGTAGAAAAAAATACAAAAATTGCGTGTTTTTGCCGACTTTAATTATTTCGGAGACAATATCGAGCGACATATTGAATTTATAGGAAACTGAAGCTATAAAGTTTAGGGACATCTAGAAAATGTATCAAATTAACCCCTCCACGAAATCATTTTTAGCGATAATATTGATTTGTTGTCTTGAGTTTTTTTATAAATTCATGGTTATATCTTTTTATCAGAACATCATCGTCTGTAGAACTTAGAACTAAATAGAACTTGAACTGTAAAAGAAAGTTTGAACTTGAATTCTATTTGGTACATAAGTTTTAGTACTCAGGTACATAGATTTTCTCTGGATACGGAATTTATTATTCTCTGCTAGGAAGCTTACCTGACTTTTGTTATTACTTCCAACATAGTCGAGGCGAACACGATATTAACGATTAGTTTTAAGAAGGATGAGCTCTAAGAACGCCACACACACACAACATAGGAGGTGGCAGATTTAAAAAATAAACAACAACCCTCCATCTCCGCTTATGGGACCAGCTGATTCCTCCTTAAACCTTGGTTTTGGAAGCTCAATTGCGATATCACGGACCAAAAAAGGGTGCTAAGAGGGAGCTATCTGCCACCGCTTCTGAGTCCACTCTGAAGGTTAGGCAGAGTAAGCAGCATGGTACAGTCCAAGGTAATCTGGACACAGTTACCTAAACCTATGCCGAAAATATCCGATTGGAACTCACAAAAAAATCTCGTTAGATTAATGTTTGGAAACATATCTCGTACCAACACATACCCACCGGATGAGAACTGATGAGAAATTAATCTCTGAGAATTTCATCATCCTGTGGCGCTACATCCCTTGGTGAGATTTGGCCATCTGAACAATTTGCTTTCACTCCACTCTATGAAGTGCTGTCACTCTCCAAATTTTGAACGTGCTGCTTCTTTATGTCGTTACTCACACCATTTATCGTATGTTTTGGTTTGCTCGCAAATACTTTCTTTGCTATTCTGGTTTCACTCATTCTTAAGATGTGTCCCAAAGAATAAGACGGTTCTTTGAGCTTTGGCAAACCAACAATGTTTTCTCATTCAACAAGGTTGTTTAATTTTTCATTAGTACGACGTATGTACGTTCCATTCTCCTTTTGCCCCGAAAATTCTTCGTAATATTTTTCTTTCAAATGTCTTTAGGCTATTCTCATCTTTTGTTGTAAATAATCAGACTTCGCTTCCATATATTACAACCGATCTTATTATCATTTTATATAGTAATAATTTTCATCTTCTAAACAGCAGTTTTGACTGGAATTACTTTTTGTAAACGAAGTAACATGCGTTTCCAGCTATTATTCTGTCTTGTATGCAATGTTGTATGCTTTCCACACCTTCAAAGTTGTACTCAGCAACAGTTAAGGTTTTCGGAGTTTTTTCTTGCGAATGTTTCTGCCATGGTGTGTAGAGAGAAGGCCATTATTACTATGTCATCTGTGTATCGAATCACTTGATATGCCTTATTATATATTATGAATATCTGCCTTCGTTTTCTACATCACCAATTGCATATTGCAGTGCTAGATTGAAAAATAACGTAGATACTGCATCCCTTTATCTAACATTATTATTAATGCCAAATGGTTCCGACTTTCTATTTTGTACTATTACTTTTGCTTTAGATTAGTAGATTGTCATCATTGATTGTCATCTAGCTTTATCAGTATTGATTGTAATTTGTTTCGGTTTACGATATCGAAGGCTTATCTGAAGGTGATGAACATTAAATTCAAGTCTTTATTATATTCATAACATTTCTCCATATTCTGTTTCAGAATAAACAGTTGGTCAGTTGTAGATCTTCCATTAGAGAATCCGCATTGGTATTGCTTAATTATTTCTTCGACAAGTAGACGGTGTTTAGCAGCATAATTGGCCTACACTTTCCACAACATTATTTATCACTCTTCATTTTTCCATATGCCATATACACATGTTATGTTATGTAGCTTAGAGATAAGTATGTCGCCTCTAATTCGATCTCTATTCTTCGACATCATTATTGTTGCCTTCACTTCTATTTCACGTTCCAAGGTTGCGTAGTCTTGTCAAGAGTTATCGTTTTCGTTGTCATCTTCATTGATCTGGATGTTCAAATTTCCCTTGAATCTGGGTTAATATAGTTCTGGTGTTTTACTTTCTGTACTACTCTTCCGCCGAGGAAGCTTATGGGTTAACAACCTAATCTTTTCTTCTTTTTCCACTCTCTCTAGACTGTTTTGTTGTTCTTGATAAGCTCTGAAATATCTCCTGAGAAGTTGACTACGACGCCATCTCTTTGGCGACCTAATTCCAGGCGACTTATTTGTATCGTCAGTCTGTTATACCACATTCTACGGATGTGATTGTGTCAAAATCTTTTACGCTGTTTTCCCCATCTCACAATGTCAGTTTAAAAAGCTTTATATAACTTTCCATGACTCTAACTTGCAATTACGTGAACTTGTTGAGTTTTGTTCTTATGACATTGACACAATATGTTGATATAAAAATCGTTCGAAGGCAGAACGCTTTTTTGTTGATTATTACAAGATAACCAAGTTAATCTTTAAAAAAATGAAAATTAATCCCTTTCCTTTGACTAGGATTCCCGCATTGTTTAAGTGAATAACTTTATTCTTGATGATGTTGCATTAACGACATTTAAAAGTCTTTCTAATATTATTGCTGTCAAAATTTCTTCTAAACATTATCACTTTTAAGTGAATTGACGTAAAGCTTTAAAACTTATTTTCGATCGTAAACTGTTTTTATGAAAAGCAAAAATAATCATTTCAGTCCAATTCTATCTGTCGTTTTTATTAATCCCATCAGGATTCTAAGCGAACATTATTAAGCCATCTGAAATGTCATATATCCAAGGGATATCGTCGAGTTTACGACATCCTCACACGGCAACCCTCCCCCCTATCCTTAAGCGGTAATATCGGATATTCGTGTTTACGCCCGGAGTTTGTTTATGGCCGGACGGTAACGGCCGATTGTTCTTCAAGTTATCTTCCGCGAGCGTTTTATTGTTATCGGTAGCGCCGCATGGTAGGTATAAGGTCATGGCGGAAATGTCGTAAATTTCCATTATTAATAACAGCCCTGACCGGAACCTTCGTTGTTGCGATTTAAATTCGAACGACGACGGTAAACGCCCGTTTGGGGGCCTTTCAAAGAAACCGTAGATAAATCTCTTTGCAGCGCTAGCTGGCATGGGAAGTATGGCGATAAGGTTTTAGGGAAGGATGTACGGAAAAAGTTGAAACGCGTTTATATATCATGAAAAAGTTTTTCTTGAGAGGGCGATTTACGAAGGGAATGTTGACGTATTGAAATCGTTTTCTTTCAAAATCACTTTTTTAGATATAAAATTTATACGCACCTCATAACATTATATAGAAGTCATTGAAGCATGAATTTCTCCAATTTGATCTTAATCCAAAAACACAGAAACCTGAAACAAAATAACATTTTGGGAAATTAACTTAATCATACAATAAAATTTATCAAATTTATAGAACGAAAACTCCAACGGTTCTCGAGATTAATCTTTCAACATCCAGGAACTTCTCGGCAAGGGTCTCGGCTGCGGAAACGCGAACCCCATGAATCTCAAACGCCCTTCCGGTTAAAACTCGAAAACTTTTTTCATTTTTGTTTAGCGCCACGTGAATTTGTAATCGAGTCACGGTCGCCCGTGTGAATTATGCAGAAAACCAGGGCGTTATCAACTCTTCTCGACTTTCGCATGATGTACCAACCTAACGAGAACATCCTGAAAATGTTTGTTGATCGTTTATAGGTACTATTCAATAAACTATTCAAATTACCGTCGCGGCTATGAAGATATCATAAAGTACTTAATCGCTCGTAAATGAAAATAAACCCGGATTTAAAGTTAAAACGGATTATTTAAATGATAACCGATTGGCTCGGTTAAATTCGCACAAAATAAATAGATTTTGGGATGACGGCGTTAACTCTGGCGGGATGGCCTTTTGCAAAATTTCGACCAATTGGAGTAGTTACGGACGGTAATTCTGTTTGTTGCGCTGATTATGCTCTGCGGGACAAATGATCCGGCTCTATTATATCGAGTGGGGTTTATATATAATTTACATTTACCCTCAGCGGCCAGCACGATATCGTACCTTTGTGATGGAAATGTTTATGACGACTAACAAACAATAAGCCAAAATCTATCGCAGGATTCTATAGGTACAGTGCAATTAGTCGGTGAAATAATTACCACAACATTGTATTATTACCTACTCAATACTTTTTTAATACATGGTAATAATGGTTTCCGAAATTTAAATTTAATCCTGTACATTTTGATGTACCGGGACCATAATTCCTGCAAGTTCCCAAACAATTACATTACCGCAGGAGTTCTAAAAATGTAACTTTTGGAAACTGTACACACATGTGTCCTGATATAACGTCATTGAACAATAATAAATTAAATAAAAAAATTGTGTGGTAACGCTTTGAACACGAGCACTGGTTTGTTAGATACAATAAGCTCAGTGATCCATTATTGACATATTTTTGAATAAGTTCAGCGAATAATTATCGAAAAATTTTCTATACAGCCGACACTTGTTTTGACGGAGCATGTACAACAACTGATTTACAAATTCGCAAATTACACGAAAAATCAAGTGAATTAGATGGTTGAATATGAGCAGATAACTTTACGTTTCTTTAGTGACTCTATTATTAACAGGTTGACTGCCATGTGTACCGTTCCTGATACATATAGGTTGGTTTATGAAAGCCACTGTACTTTGTTTTAAGTATTGTTCTTGAGGCCATGAGATATATTTGCATTTATTGCTTGAGTATCTACAATGATTCTCATTAATTAGTTATGGAAGCCAACCTGTTAAAAATTTACTGTAGTCTTTTATAATTAACACACTTTAACTTCTTAGCAATTCTTGACAATGAACAAACCTCGGGCGTGACAACCAAGTACCGCGGTAAATTTGCTCTCTATCAATACACATTACAGTTAGTACAACTAAAGCCAGCTGATGTTGGTCTAAGACATATCTTCGCTTAGAGATACACTATTAACAACTCTCGTCCTTTATTTTCTCGACGCCAATCCAACCCAACCCAACCTAAACGACCACACACTTTTGGTCACTCGTTAATCAGATTAAAGAACAACTAAAAACCAGGGTTATAGTGGAGATACAAATTAATCCGAAAAATCAAAAAGGTTATTCAGAATCTCGATGGCGACAAATTTGAAGTGGTCACCCAATCTAATTCAATCCTGAAGAAATCTGGAGGAAACATTAAAAAGTATTAATGAGCACATATTATGTTCTGGCTATTCCTGGTTTCGTTCCATACAAAACAGCATATAAGTTCCTAAACCCTAATCTCGCAAAACCCCATGATCAAATTTACCATGGAAATGGAAGCTGCTAAACAGTTACCTTTCTTGAATGACTAGAAACATTCGGGTTTAGCCGTCAGAAGAGAAGTACGGCTAAATCCGCATGTATCTAATTCTAGCACTACCCATAAAACTAGAAACATTCGGGTTTACCGTCTTAAGAGACGCAAGGCTAAACCCAAATCATTCTAGTTCTAATACTAGCCCTAGAACTAGAAACAATAAAGTTTAGCCTTGCGGCTCTTAACACGGCTAAACCCGAATGATTCTAGTTCTAACACTAGAACTGGAACTAGAAACATTCGGGTTTTGGTCGTCTTAAGAGATGTACGGCTAAACTCGAATAGTGTACCCGGAAAGAACAGCTGGCGATGAAGCTGGCGGTCGTGGAATTGCAGACTAGCAGGCAAATCATGGATGGAAATCAAACGCAACGAAAAGATTGATGTTAATTACATACATTTATTGGTTACAACGCTCTTCAATGCAGTATCAGTAAGGTACGATATAATATCTTCACAATCTAGGTTGTGCATCAAACGAAAATAGATAGCGATATGAAATTAAGAGCAAGAATAAATTAATATTTTAAAATTTGATGCGGCAGCATTACTAAAATAGTACGTCCTAACCACTATCATTTTGCAACATCGTAGCTAGAGAAAATAAACAAGGTGGGTTAACGACAAGTTCAAGAATGTTATACAGAGAAAAGAGGAGTAGAAATTTAATACACCACCAAGAGCACGATAAATAGAACGAATTAAATTACAACATAAGCGAGATAAAAATATTAAGAATTAAGAAAGTAGAAACTAAATGTTAATGCATTTTATTATTAAATTCATCATGATAATCAAATAAGTAACTAAACATAAACAAAACTGTAATAATTTCTCCGTAAAAGAATAAACAAATTTTCTAAACCTATACCACTATTATTAAAAATCTTTACTTTAATAATTGAACTAAATTGCTAAGTATCGTGTAGATTATAAACGTTACAATAGCTATTAAATGTAAAATAATCAATTTTTTTTAAATAGATAAAATCGGAATAAATAAATGGTTTATAAGCACGATTTATCGAACATTTTTCTTTCCGGCATTGTACTTTGTTGAACTTCACCATTATCGCCTCGCATGTTCAAAGGCTATTTATTAAATTCCGCCAGATATCGAATGTCGCAATTACGTTCACGTAAACATCGACTCCTGTAACGGCGGCCAAAGTTGCCCCATTCATAATTCAATAATAGTTGTTGCCTTGTAGCTGTTTTTAACTTTTCGAGATACATGGGATGAGATGTTGTTTGATTAGGAGGTTCGAAACGTATTGGGTTGCTACAAGTTGGTAGAACAGAAGTAGCAACTGGTATGAATGCAACACGAACATGCGCCTCGGTGGTCTGCGTTTTGTTGAAATACCCACGATCTTGTTTGCACCAATTACCGAAGCTGGTAACGCTACGAATTCCCTTTTGGAAAGGGTTCTAAATGCGGGCGCGGACCATTGCGGACTCGTTAATAGATAAGTTAGCTTGTTCGCGTTGATGAGACCCAATCCGAATTTAAATTTAAAAGGCCGTTGGGCGTCAAGCGGAAAACCTTTTTGTGTTTATTTCCCAGTAGATTATTTATTCCTTTGCTGTTACATACGAGATTACGCTTTGCGCTTTCACGACCCTATTGTTTCAAATCTCCGGCGTTATATTGCGCACGCGGTTTTCTCTTTATACTTTTTACTCATACTGGTAAAATTCCTCTTTTGTTCTATAGGACTTTCGTAAATCGCAATTTTTGCAACGCCACATCGGCGCGACGCGGGTTATCGATTTTCTGTTTCAACCCGACAGCCTCTAGAATTAAAATGTTTCGCGACTTTTTGACAATTCGGCCCGGAATTAAAGTTTTACGGGAAGCGCTAGCGGCGGCACGAATTAAATTCGAACAAAAAATCAACATATCGCGTAAAAAATCGTCAGAACATGGCACGCAAAAATCCGAACGACACATAAAAATCATCAATTTCTATTAGCGTCAATTAGTAACGGCGAATGTTTTATAGTAAAATTGTCAACGGCGCTACATGTTTAATCTCGCTCGATTATAATGCAATGCTCCCAATTTTTTTTAATACTCCAACAAAAAAATCCTCTTCGTTTATCGACTATTTATTAATATCGAATATAGTCGAAATGTTGACAGCAATTTTTTGTACGTTTCATTTCTACGAGTGTTAAAATAAAATTTGTCTCTGAATATTTTTATCGCACATCACGTTTTTTACATAAAATTGAATAACAATAAAATGAACTAATAGACGAACCCGGTTAATTAATAAATTGGGGTAGTAGATTTTATTAAAAATTTTGCGGATTTTTTTATCTGTTTCACTGAACATAAAAGAATAAAGCATCAACAAAGTTCATTTTTCCTATATTTTAACAATTTTTGTATTACAAAGGTAAATTTTAATTATTCTATTGACGTGTTATTCAGCACCAAACCGCAATTCGACAACATTTAGATTCGATTACATCACGAATATTAGTGTGACTATATTTCCATATTAATTGAAATGTGTATCAATCCAAATTGAATTTCTCACACAATGGAAAGCATTTTAAAATCATTTTTCTAAAATCAATATTAATATAATTATATAAAATCTTGGAACCTAACAAAATATCTCATCTTTAATTTTATTAACACTTATTTAGTTATCCATTATCATCACTACTTGATGCTTCGTTCATATCGTTTCATGACCGATAAAGCTCAATTTTATACTCTACAAACGGTGTGAAGCTCAATAATTTTTTTCTTTCCTACGTTGTTTCATAGAATAAACACCTTTATAACAATAGAAACCAAAGCGATATCTATATTACACACTGTAGTAGTACTTTATTTCAAGGTAGTAGATTCAATCAGACGTCCCGTTGATTGTAAGTTGTTACTAAAGTGGCTACAAGCAAACAAGGAATCTAGAGATAGCGAAAAAGTAAGTAATTTTAAAGGAGCCAAAAAGATGTGGAATCCTAGAAATATGGCTAAATTTTGAATATGACAGAATTGACGAAATCAATGATCCTGTAACAGTGAATCACTAACATTTAAGTAGACAGAAAGAAAATTCCTCGAATTAAGCCAGAATCAAATTAAATCTGCTTAAATATGCTAGGAACTAGAAGGGTACAAGATAACAAGATGAAAATGAATAAAACGAAGCCAGAAGGAAGATATCAGAAACAAGTAAGAATTTAACAAAAACGCAGAAAACGAAAGCAGTCAGAAATCAGAAACTATAAAACTAAAACATTGAAGTTTCTTGATAGAAGTCGTATCGCGAACAAAGCCAAAAGATAAAGCAAGCTGAGTATCGAAGATATAAAAATAGCAAGGAAGACGAAAAATCATTGAATCAAAAATTTTCATCTTGAAAATACAAAGTTGTTTGTCAAATTATTTCAAATACAAAGCATATGTTGATTATGTCTGTAAACAGGTCTAAGCTAATCTTCATTTTTATCATTACGCTCCAGTTTGTAATTTGTTGTCTACATAACTATGCTTATCTTTTGATTTTGTTTGATTGATGTCAAAAACAATGTCAAAAAGAAATAAAATTTCGCCTACGTAAAACGGCAGTCGGTGCCGACTTGCACCGGAACATGTCAGTACTTGCTGATCAAAGCGAATTCACACGGCGAGCGCGTATCGTTTTCAATTCTTCTACGTGTCAGTGGAATTACGCAGTTAAAAAAAATATATTTAATAAGTCACGTGAACCATCGAATGCCGGATTCAAAACTTCCTAAGTTCTGACAGTTTTCTCCTCAAAAACAACGTATTTTTGAAGCGAATATACCGGTTAATGAAAGCGCTATTCTTCTTATTCTGAAGAGGATTATTTATTAAGAAAAGGCTGGATGTTTGAGTAACTTGCAAAGAAGTGCACAAAAATACGTCTAATCTTTGTCATTATCTTACATAATTTGCTTAACATTGAATGATAAAAGTGAATTAATAAAATCTTCTTTGACATCAACATCATGTTATGAACTGTTACAAAACGATTCATCTCTTGATTTTAATGAATTTGCCAACACTGGTCGAGGACACATATCCAGGAACAAATAATATATCTATGCGGTGTGATTAGAAATTAAAAAATATTAACTAAATATGAAAGATTCTGCACATTTATTAAGGCATATTCCTGGCGATTTATACACCGAAAAGAAAAGCTTAAAGAAAAAATCAAACAAAAGTTTGAGTTTCAAAATGAGATAAGAAGAGAACTCTTGCATGATAGTTAACGTCTTCTGACAGTTAATTTATATAGAAATAATAACTAGTACTTATTATACGAAGGTGCTGCATAATGACAAGGAGAAATTGACAGACGAAGAGAAAAAAAGGGTCATGGAATGGGTGCCACACAATATGACGAAGCGCGGAAGGCCAAGAAAACATAGAGAAAGGATGTGGCAGAGGCATTAAATCCAGGGGATTGGCATAACCGGATAATATAGAAGCTAGCGTGCGAGAAACCGTTTTGAACTGTGATTAAGCTCGCTTAATAATAATAAAATAATGAACAACTTGTTTGTGTGGCAAGGTTTGAGAGCGTTTGAGGAAGGGAACATGCGCACGCTGTTTGAAACGTGATTGTTAGCAATGGAGCATAATCATGTTTAAATGATATTATCTCTGCTTGCATCGTCGATTTCTGCAGCTTCAGGATTAAGTGATTCTTTTCTTTTTCTCGGGCTATCTTTATATCTATGGTTTTGTAAACAAATGGAAAGTTTGTAACATCTCATAATAATATTTATAAATATTATTTTAACGCAGTCAAAATATGTTCAAATTACAATTTGTTCCTTAATTGTGCAATACATTACATCTTGTATTCTGCAATTCAGCCTGTTGATCGATCTACATTCCAATTATATTGAGTATACTTCGTATCGTCTACAGTTCATGTTACTGAAATGTCTCAAATCATTAATTAAATTACAGAATTACAGTAATTCGATGTCCACGGCACACTATGTCTTTGAGAGATAAGCGATATCCGTTTTCAGAATGTAGCTTGTTCATGAAATTGAAACATTTTCCGGTATCTGTATACATATTGTCAGAGTGAATTTCATGATCAAGTTCAAATTAATGTAATGTTGAATTATATTCAGAATTCGTAGATATTCAACATAAACCAACCCAAACCTTGAATTCTGAACTCTGACCTGAAATGTAATCCATCTTTGGGCCCTTCACCTTCTAGGTCAGTGCACTTCAGCTTCACCTTTCATAATAATTTAGTTTCTATTATCGTTAAATCAGTTCTATTATAATATGACAATGATATATGCATGGCAACAAATGAAATTAAAAAAATACTCCCAGAAATATGTAAAACCCTATCTCCTTCATTTTATTAAAAAAAAATCGATTTGATTTATCTGATCACATGACTTTGAATTTTGTGGTAAGAAAACATCTCATTTCGTTTCATAGTGAAATTGGTAAAAGTCTCCCTTCCTGAAAACTCGAAGGATTCGAGATGTCTGGCATCATTCAACAGACACATTCAAACGTTGAAAAGTACATCGGCGTTGAGCGAACGCGTTCGTTTTTGTGCATATTATTACCACAACGTAGCGAGAAAGAGACCAGAAACCCCCTTTTCGACTAACGAACTCACCTCGGACCGTCGAATTCGACACGCAACGCTCGAATTAACACGCCGAAGGGAGCAAGTTTCACAATATCTGAATGGGTCGTTAATCCCCCTCCTGGTATACTTCGCAGGGCGCGTTTCGTTACACTTTCCGCCTGAAATTACAAAGATATCGGATTGTGTTTTGGTTATTAACAGAACGGAAAGTCTTGTTAAGCAGGATTTGGAAAGGGTTTTGTTTGGCTAAAAAGATTACCTATTAATGAATTTATTTTTAAATGGGGTAGATAGAATTTATTTAAAATTCAAATGAAAAGTTAATGTAAATTTAAATAGTTCGATTCAGGTGTTTTATGTCATAAAATATATTGATTTTCAGGCATTGAAACGGTTCGTGTACATTTCAGTGTACGTTTATTAATTGTTACGGACATTAACGACAATATAAAGTGTCGTGTTTATTTGTTTATTTCGAGGATCGGTGCGAAAAACGACAAAAATACCAGAAATCTATGACCAACCTATGTCATGTTTAACGTTTATTATATTTCGGACGGCAAAAAACGGTTGGCTCTCCCGCCAAGCTGATTTATCGCGAGGGGGATGGGCTTTAATTGAATTTATACCCGCAGATTTAATCGTCGGAACCAGGCTCTTCCGCGAAAAAGGCCTCCGCGGTAACGTTTCTGAAGCTTGACTAGCGCAATCTCCACTTTATGGTCCATAAAAAGTACTCAATGCCGTTTTCGGCACAATTACGTGGTCTTATTTTGCACTCTATCCCAGGTTGGATAAGAAATATGTACAGCTACAGGCGGTGTTAACGGCAGTCTCGTAAAGGCAATTCGTGAAACGGTATCGGTCGTTTTTAGTTCCGTTACTTTTCACGAGAAGAGTCGCTGAGTATCTAATTTCCGTGACGTTTCAATGAGAAACTGAGATCGTATCGTTCTAGAATAGAAATGATTTTTTTTAATCAACATCAAATTGAATGAAATCGTCTTAATAACTCTGTAAATAATAGAAACTAACTAAGTAACTCGTTGACTGAAGCATTTATATACGTAACTTTGCTTAAGATATAACTCGTTGTTTAATCCTTAAAGTTGGTGTAGTAGACGAAATGAATGAAGGCACTGTAGATGATTTACCGTAACGGAGATATGATTAAGCTTGTTTCATAGTCTCGCTTGAACTTAGATGGTGAGTAGTAGCGGGGATATACAACGGTCTGAAGATATGTTGGCATGGAAACGGTTTGGAACATCTTGCGTATCGTAAATATTCCAAACCATTTGTGTAATGATAATCAAAAAAATTCATCGCGAAATACTTTTCCAATGTTGTAAAATATTACGATGGTATAACCAAAATTTCGAGATTAAAGTTTTACGTCATTGTGTTAGCTGGTTGTATAGCGTAATTTTATAAAACACAAAATATAAAACACCGTGCTAATCAGATCAAATCTAATGTAGTGTGATCCTGTGGCAGGGGCGCAGCACCACCACTGAATGCCTCTTGGTGCTTTCAAGCGGAAAATGATAATAACTATAGAATTGGCCGCAGAATGCTGCGCTTTGCGTTGCGTCATCTACTTCACACCTCATTTGTCCTTGGCGTTATTAATTACGTGGTGGTTAATTGTGTCGCCACGAGCTTTGCGGGCTACGACCATAGCGAGGGAAGTTTTTGTATCGGAGGGCGGTGCTTACGGGATTATTAATAATTAGTCTGAAAATTAATGTCTGGCTCGAGGACCCTTGGCGTGAAAAATAAGCTCATTAGCAAGTTAACAGTTATTGTTGGCGGTTGTTTTCGGCTAATAAATACGCTTTTCGGTCCCGGAGTGTTTTTGCGGTGAGGTTTGTTCCGCTATTAAACTTTGTAGGGTTTCCAAAAGGGTAATTAGAGTGTTATTGTTCGAAACTTGCCATTTGTTACACTAAAATCACGTTTAATTCTCCATTAAGCAGTTTTTCCTTTTTTAATTACCCCTTTTTATTCCTTTTGAATTCTTCATCATGAAAAAAAAGAAGTGATGTAAAAGTAAACAAATTCAACCGATTCAAACGCTCTTCAATTTCAAACTGGGCGTAGCTGCCGAAACCGAACGGCGTGTAAATGCAGCTCATCGGTTAACTTTTATAGCCGCTATCGGGTTTAAAAGGTGTATTTAAGGGCCGTAAACGCGTCTGGGCTAAAGCCAGTTTTATATGTAGCAACGTCCGGGCGCGGTTCTCTTTTTCCAAACCCTAATTTGTTTCCAACGGTTAAAATATTCGCGAGCATTTAAAGAGCGGCGAAAACACCGAAATTGGTTAGTGGGGGTGAGAAGGAGAATGAACTGGAAATACTGGATTGATAAAAGTATTCTAGGGATAGCCGATCGGGATGCGTGCAGAAATGTGGTTCTGGGTGTGCCACGAACCTAATAGAATTTGATATAACTAGCTGTATTGTGTGGGTGGGCGGAAACGGCTGAACCCTTGATGTTGCCTGATGGAAATCGTGACTGGCGTGCTCAACTCTTTTCCTGGCAATTGCCTACTTATAAGTATGGACATGGCGTTTCACTAAGATCTTTGTTTCTTCTCAATAGCAAGAAAGAGAATAGCGTATGTTGATTAACTCGGGATATCAAGACAACAACAACCCTTTTCAGTATAATCTCACAATTATACCGCAAACGGGAACATTAGGCACGTAATAATTACGATTTCTACCGTATTGTGAGAGTTTGCAAAGTTTCGAGGGCGAGCTTTGAAAGTGTCACGGAATACGGCGACGAAAATTGCGGCCGCACCGAGCATCGAGTATCTTATTAGCGCCGCTCCGTGCTTTGTTTAATACTTAATCAATGCACCCCTTATCTGTTTGCACCGCATGCACACACGGGCGCAATAATCACCACCGTACTATATTTTCCCTCGGAAAAATCCCCCTATGACAGCCAACGGCCTTTGATAAATATTGGACGAGGTGGTAATTTGGCCCCGACGGCTAATTACTTTGACTTTTTGCAACTGCACGCGAACTGGGACAAGCACCACTTGAGATTCTCACCGCGTAATTAGAATTGGTCGCGTGGTCCGCAGACTTTTTTTCGGGAAAAACTCAAGCCTCCTATGAATGGGCCAACGGCCCTTTCTGTGAAATGTATAATTATCTGCATACAAAACGAAAGAAAAGTTGAAATCTGGATTTCTCACTATAATTACAGAATTAAAGTGAGGGATGTAAAAATAACTCCCACATTTCACTCGCAGCACACGATATAAAAGAGGTAATCTTTAAAAACATTACAATAATTACTTGAATACTTTTGTTGTGTTTCAAATATGCACTTTCCATAAAAGTATATGCATGTTTATGAACGCCATTTTACTGTTTGTAGGTAATAAAAACGTTATGAGTAGAAAAATGGGTAAGATGTCTAGTGCGTCTTTATTTTCGAAATGGATGAAATATAAATTCGATGGAAAGCCGCTCAGACGTGTTCTGTTCAAAATGTCAGTCGGCGCGAGATGTCGCGTTTTGTGTTTACATTTTAGCCGGCGCTATGCCCCCGTGGCTGCGCAATCGCCATAAATCAAACGGCAAAAGTCGCCGAATCGAGTTAACCCCACCCGTCAGAGGCAAATTCTGATAAGGTCGTCGCACGTTTGTCAACCGATAGCGAAGCCATCTTTATTACGTTCTTTTTATTATACAGCCCATAGTTTCGATTTATCGTTTCAGTTGTTATTGTTCCAAATCAAACACGTAACACAATTCAAGAGCGTTGTCAAAATACACGACCGAAATGTCTCGTCTCAATAAAAACCCTTGACAACAAGCGCTGCCGCGTTTAGAAGAAACCTCGGTTGGAAGGCGTTCAAAAGGCCAAATCCAATTACCGCCGCATTTAAGGTAAGAATTTACGAGCCGTCTCACTATTGCGGGAAGAACCGAACAATTTCAAAGCGTAATTGAAATCCGGGCGCAGACGCGCCTCTGGCGACAGAAAAACCAAACTGTGTGTATATAGGGCAAGAGACGAAACTCCTCGAGAATGACTGATTCGTATTCCCGGTGAATTTAAAACGAATTTATAGCCCCTTCTTTCGAGGGCGGCTTGTTACTGGCCTTGCCAGGACCGAAACGGTCCCTCAACTCTCCGAAACACGTATCTACGATGGGGTAACTTGATTATCGGCTGCATTTCCCTTTTTCGCTACGAGCAGACTACCGACTTCCACTTTGTTTGGATATTCTTCCTCAGGGGTGAAGGAAGGAAGCGAACAACGAACCCGGACGTTACCGTTTCGGAAGGAAAAGGGCAACTTGTAACGGAGTGTGTAAATTAATTTCAAGAGTTTTAGTTTTACCATACCAAAGGGGTTTTCGAATCGTTTAACATATCTTCAAGATAGTTGTTAAAGGAAATTAACTGGAATCGTTATTTTTATGATGGTACTGCGAAACTATTTATTAAACTATTATTAAATTTACAAAATATCTCACGCTCATTAATGGGTAGCAATGCAGAGATCTTGCGATGTCACGAAATTAATATTAAATTATTTATTGAATGCAGCACACATAAGTTACAAGACTAGTTTATAGTAAGCAGACTCATCAAATAATGGTAATAGTTTAGTTATCGTTTCAAGAATAGAGTTCAAAGTGGTGAAACTATCATAAATGTGCAGTCAGCAGTTCCTTTTACTTTTATTAGATACTTTTATAGCTAAATCACCTTGAAACGAGAGATTGTCAAACTTCTCTCAACAAATGTACTACTTTGATATGCTATTAATTGCATTTGTATTACGTAAAAGTAAGTGATGAAAGTCAGCACGACTTATCGTGCACTTATTAAGACTCAAACCCATTCGGTTTCGTAATTACCGAAATAATCAGTCTGCTAGATACAGAGGAATGATATATAAAAGTCTAGGACTATACCAGTATTAAAAAATTTTCAACTAGAAGCAAAAAAAGGCACATATAATAAATGGCAAAGAAAGTTTTAGATATTTGGATGTGGTGAGCCCAAGAACTAATGGCACAAAGTGATCATATACTTTATATACCACGTGCCAAAAAATTGCAACACGTAAAAAGTCGGCGATAAAAACATCATATCGATACACAAAGAATTGCTAATAGA